CTCACTGGAGGGAGTGAGACAGAGATAGAGGGAGGGAAAGTGAGAGATCACTGCCTGGGGAGGGTGGCCATATCACAATCCTTTCTCTTCCTTTATCCGCCTGGGATTTGGGGCACACACAAGTGTCCTATGTGATTTTCAAGCTGTGCTTCCAGGACTTGAACTTCAGTCAGCCATGTGGAACTCCAGCACCTTAACCACCAGACCACCTGCTGGCCTCATGGTGTTCTTCTAAAGGATAGCACATATCTCTGCCTTGGAGATGGGTGCTAGCTCTGCACTGTTTCTATCCATGGCACCAGGAGTGTCTGTAACGTGGTGACCACTTACTGTCAACAGATTGGAGCCCAACTTTACCCCAAAAAGAAGCAACAGGCTTCCATCCATGCCCACTGGGCTCTCGGGAGCTGGCCAGAATGCAAGGTCCATTTAAAACCATAACTGGAGCCCCTCTTTCCTCATTCGCAAAGTGGGAATCATGATCCCAGGACGGCTCAGGTCACAGAGATGTGGAGGAGTTCTGTGGGTGTTCGTGAGTCCCTGTGCACCCACATTCTGATCCTGCCCAGGGGTTAGAGAGCCTGCTGCTGTCTGTGTGGTGGGCTCCTCTCCTGTTCCACTGGAGGCGGGTGCCTTGGTTCATCCGGGCTGCCACAATGAAGCAGCACAGGCCAAATGGTTTATAAGCCACAGACATTTCTCACAGTTCTGGAGGCTGGAAGTCCAAGGTCAAGGTGCCTGCAGATTTGTGTCTAGTGAGGGCCCACTTTCTGGTTTGCAGCAGGTGCTGTCTAGCCGTGAGTTTGCATAAAGGAAGAAACAAGGCACCTCTCCAGCATCTCTTTTTTTAAGAGCACTAATCCAGGCCAGCAGGTGGTGTGGTGATTAAGGCACTGGATCCCACATGGCTGACTCCACAGTTCAAGTCCAGAACTGGTAGCTTAAAAACATGCTGGTTGTGTATGCATACAGGCCCGAAATCCCAAGAGGAGAATAGGGGAGGGGTTGTGGCATGGCCATCCCCCTGAGGGATGATTTCTCACTCTCCCTCTGTTTCTCTTCTCCCTCCAGCATTTTACTCTGTGGCAAAAATCTTTGAAAAAGAAATAAAGTAGGGGCTCTAATCCACATAAGGGCTTTTACCCTCATGGGCTGAGCACTTCCTAAAGGCCCCACTTCTATCACCTTAGGTTTCAACATGGAAAGATTCTTTTTTAAGAATTATTATTATTTCTTTAGAGAGAATTTCACTTTAGGGTGTGTGTGCTTGCTGGAGAGACAGAGACAGAGAGACGGAAAATGAGACATCACCCCCCAAAGGCGATGGCCATGCCAGAGTCCCTTCCTTTCCATTCTCCTCTTGGGATTTTGAGCACGCACGCACACGCACCTGGCATGTTGTAAACTGCTCAGTCCAGGGACTCAAACCATGGTTAACTATGTGGGAGTTCAGTGATGTAACCGTTACACCATCTACTGGCCCTTAATATTTTAAAATTTTATTTTATTTATTATTATTATTTTAAAGTTTGCTATAGAGCACATACGTTCACTAGAGAGAGACAGAGAGAGGGAAAGTGAGAAAGCAAGGCACCAAGTCTGGGACTCGAACCATGATCGGCCACATGGGAGTCCAATATCTTTATCAACATTCCACCTGCTGGCCCCACAACATACAAACTTTGGGGGGGACACAGTGGGGCAGGAATTCCAGGGCACATTCGAGGCCCCTGCAAGAAGGCCGTCTGCACCTGCCTACCCCTCTGGGCTCACCTATGCCAGCCCCACGTGCCCTGGCCTCTGCTCACCTTCGTGAGGGCCGTGTGCATGCTTTCTCACGGCTTCCTTCACTTTTCTCCTCCGCAGGGCTCTGCTCAAAGGCCTCTCCTATGACAGCTTTCCCTGAATCCTTGTCACGGAGACTCGGCTTCCACCTCTCTTATCACTCATTTCCTTCCCCCGTACATCTGAACTCGGTTTACCTACTTCTGTCCACTCCCAGCCTGTGAGCTCTGAGGACAGGGGCCAGTATCTACCTGAGCATCCTAGGCAGAGCTCAGGAGCTCGCCACAAATGTGTGTCAAATTTGCATCAACCAAAAAAGATTCTCTGACCGTCTACTCTGGGTCAACCGATCTGAACGGATTAGGGCGCTGCCCTGGAGTCTGGATTGTGTGTAACTTTGTCATTGGCCACGCTGCTTCTCCGCACAATATATTAAAATATATTGAAATATATTAAAATGTCAGAAACGTTAAAAGCTTATGTTTAAAAGTAAACCAGCCCAGCAAGTGGCATGGAGATTAGGGTGTTGAATCCCACGTGCCTGACCACGAGGTTCAAGGTGGGGCCTGAGAATCATGCCAGGTGCATATGTGTGCATGCCCAAATCCCAAGAGAAGAATAGGGAAGAAGTAATTGCGGTGTGGCCATTCCCCCAGTAGGGGGTGATTTCTCGCTTTCCTCTTTCCTCTCTCTCTCTCTCTCTGTCTCTCTCTGGAGAGCACATACACCCTACAGGAAAGAGAAGGAAAAAAAGGTGACCAAGCCCCCCTCCACGCTGGCACACCCTAGACACACTGTAGTGAGCGAGACGTCTGTCCTGCTGCCTCAGAACATACACGCAGTTCCTGCTTCCTCCTCAAGGCTCTTCCTGGAAAGAGAACTAATCAAGTGGGCAAATATATGTATTTTTATTACAGGGAGCATGAGAGAGACGGAGAAACCTTGACAGAGTCTTGTCACGCTGCGATCCTTTCCCCAGCCCTTCAGGTCCCCAGAACTTGGCGACCACACCTCTACCCAGCGTGTTTTCAGGCCAGTCTTGGGATTTGAACCCATGGTTGACCTTGACTATGTGGCTTCCAGCCCTGCAGTCCAATACACTATGTCCTGGGTCATGTAGGCTGGGCCAAGCACTTATAGTTTAATGTTAAATTTTACTAAGAAGGAAATGTATAGATGAAGTATCAAACCAAGGCTGGGGTGAGGGGAGTCTTCCTAGAGGTGACATCTAGTTTGAGACCTGAAGGCTGAGTAGAAGTTAGCTGGGTAGAGTCAGAGAAGGAGCATCTCAGGCAACGGCTCACCGTCATGTGCAAAGGCCCGAGGAGGGGGAAGGTGCTGCACGTGACAAAGGTTAGACTGAGCAAAGCTGGAGACTGGGGCGGCGAGGCTGGAAAAGGAGGTCTGAGTCTGCTGGGAAGAGCTTCCTACTCCATGCCGAAGGCTGCCGACCCCATTCCGAGGGGAGTGGGCGCCATGAAGAGGCGGGCTGTGATCAGATCTGAACTGGGGAGGGCTAGTCGGCGGTGCAGTGGGATGAAGGCTCTGTAAGGCTGACCCACATGGGAAGTTTCCGGGTTCGCATCCGCAGACCTCCCTGAGTACACCAGCATCTAGGGGCCAGCGATCCGGGGTGGCCGAAGCTGGGTGGACCGTAGCATTGAGACTCTGAGGGGGGGCAGGGGGTGCTGTCTCCCTGTCTCTTTCTCTCTCTCTCTCAGTCATGGAAGAAAAAAATGAACTAAAGAAAAGAGGGCAGCTGGTAGTGTGGTTGGGGCAGCCGGGTCCCCATGGCTGACTGCAAGGTTCGAGTCCTAAACCCAGTGGCCTCAGAGGCACACAGGCACGTGTGTGCATGCCCAAAATCCCCAAAAGAGAACGGAGGAGAAGGGATGTCAGTGTGGCCATCCTCCCAGGGGGTGATTTCTCACTTTCCCTCTCTTCCTCTCTGTCTGTCTCTCTAGTAAGTGCACGTGCCCTATAGCAGAAAAAAAATGTTTTTGAGAGATTTTTGCTATAGGGCATGTGTGCTCTCTGAAGAGACAGAGAACCAGAAAGTGAGAAATCACCTCCCATGGGTGAAGATTATACTGCAATCCCTTCTCCCCCATTCTCCTCTCAGGATTTTGGGCATGCACACACACACGCCCAGGATGAATTTCAAGTTGCCAGGTCCAGGGCTTGAATCGCAGTCGACCATGTGGGAGTCCAGTGCCTTAATCACTATGCCACCTGATGCCTCCCTCCAATTGGTTTTAAAGGAAAAGAAAATAACAATCTTCTGAAGGTAGCATGGAGGGGAGTGGGAGGGGTGAGAGGTGGTGGTGTCCTGGACTACAGGAGGCAAGACAGAAAGAAGTGGATGGCCTCTGGTAGAATCAGTTGACTTTGGTGGTTGACGGAGGGAGTTGAGAAAGAAGACGGGGTCAAGGTTGACTTCTGGGCTCTTCCTGGGTGATGAGTGGATGGCGGAGCTAAGTACTGAGAGGAGGAAACGAGGGAGATGATTGGGCTTGGGAGTGGGAGGTGGTGGGAAGTCAGCCTTGGGCATGTTGAGCTGGGAGTCTGTTGATCAGACAGTTAAGAGTCTGAAGCTCAGGAGACAGATCTGGGCTGGAGAGATGTCTTCTTATATAATCGTCATGTTTCTGGGCACCAGCTCTTCCTAAGGGCATTTTGTAATGGAAACCATCTGGAGATTGTCTCAAGCATTGGTCAGACTCCGGCCACATACATTGTATTCGTTTTTCTGTTGGGTCCAGATGGCCAACTAGATTGCAAACTCCCCAAAGGTATGTCTCGCCATCATTTTGGTTTTCTTTCAAAGAATTATTTATTTAATTTTATTTATTATTTTTAATTTACCAGAAAGAAGCAGAGAGAGAGAAAGGAAAAATGAGAAAGCAAACGGCCATGTCTGGGTCTCAAACCGCACGCAGTCGGTCATGTGGGAGTCCAATGCCTTAACCACCACTCCACCTGCTGGTCATCATTTAAGTTTCCTATGGTGTGTGTGGGGAGGGGTGGGGGGTACAAGACCTTCCTTGGCCTTCAGCTGGGTCCTGCACACACACCTCGGTCTACTCCTGAGCAAGGCTAAGCCTCTTCAAGGCAGAGACTGGGCCTGGGTTTCCATGTCCCTGTACCCAGAGGGGCTTGCACTTGAGCATGTACCTCAGGGGAGGTCTGAGTGACATGGCCCCGCCTCCTTGCAGCCCAAGCCTCAGAACGCAGTCACCATCGCTGTGTCCTCCCGAGCCTTGTTCCGCATGGACGAGGAGCAGCGCATCTACACGGAGCAGGGTGTGGAGGCCTACGTGCGCTACCAGCTGGAACACGAGAACGAACCCTTCAGCCCCGGGCCGGCCTTCCCCTTCGTGAAGGTGAGGCGCTATCCCATGCTTTGTCGGGGGTAGGAAAAGCGCACTATGGCTGTTTGAATAAGGAAAGGGGACCCCTGTGAGCAGATGTGACCCCACAGGTGCACGGTCTGGCTAGAGGATCGAGACAGGAAAGGCAAGGCCACCCTGTCCTCTGGACCAAGACAGCCCCATGCCTGTGACAGCTGGGCGAGTGGACGTGAGCTGCATTTCACTCACCACCTTAGTGAGGTGCCCTGAGCAGTAAACACCACACTGGGCAGAGAGTGGTGTTGGGAAGGGGTACAGCCACCCCCCAATCCTGCAGGGGAAATGTTCCAAGACCCCAGTGGATGCCTGACCCCACGGCTAATACTGAGCCCTGTATATACCGTATCTCCCCTATTCATACGTGCTTATAATAAAGGGCACTTCATAACAGCAACAATCAAACAGAGCAATTATAATAATATACTGTGGTTTGGAAAAGCATGTGCTATGGTCTCTCGCTCCCTCGAAATATCTTATTGTGCTGTCTTTGCCTATGTTGGGACTGTGGTAGATGGCAGGTCACTGAAACCACAGGTGAAACCAGTAAGAGGGAACTATGCCCACCACTCTCTTCCCAAGCCTGGCCCTGACCACCCCGCCTCCCCTCGCTGGCTGTCTGGCCACCAGCTCCAGGTATCAACCCCTGGGCTCGGAGCTGGAGGGTACCCTCTCCCTTCCAGGCTCTGGAGGCTGTGAACAGGCGGCTGCGGGAGCTGTACCCTGACAGCGAGGACCTCTTCGACATCGTCCTCATGACCAACAACCACGCTCAAGTGGGAGTCCGTCTCATCAACAGCATCAACCACTATGGTGAGCGAGAGGGGTTTGGCCATGGGATACCCCTAGCAGACCCGCAGTGCTGGAGCTGAGCCTCTGCAGGCTCAGGTCGCACCGACTGGAAGCCCACACCCATGGTGTACTGGTAAACTGGCTCTTTAAACAAACAGACAGGGCCAGCAGGTGGCATGGTGGTTAAGGTGCTGAGCTCCCACATGGCAGATCATGGTTTGAGTCCTTGACATGGTGGTTTGCTTTCTCATGTTCCCTCTATTTCTCTCTCTCTCTTTCTCTGGTCAGTGCATAAATAGGAATAATAATAATAATAAATGAAATAATTTTAAAAAACAAAAACCAGGCAAACCAAAAGCCCAGGTTTGTAGTATGGCCACTGTTCAGAGCGTGACTGTCCCCGCCCTGGCTAATTTCAAGCTAACAATAGTTGAACAACATAACTGGTTCAGAAAATTCCTGAACGTTTCACCATCTCACAAGCCAACTCCAGCACCCTACTGCACAGGCTCCTCTCTCTGTGCGGGTGAGAAGGTGCTTGCTGCCTTTGCACCTCAGTTTACCTAAATGTGACGGGGCGTCCAGGCCTCACAAGGCCGCTCAGAGAGTCAAGTGTAGATATTAGAGTGAAAAGCTCTTGCATCTTAGCCCAAACTTGTGGTGGAAAGGAATAGACGCTCTGGAGTTTTTAAATTTTTTTTTGGAGAGATTTTCACTGTAGGGCGCGTGCGCTCGCCAGACAGACAGAGAGAGACATAGAGACAGAAAGCGAGAAATCACCCCCCGGGGGGATGGTCACGCCGCAATCCCTTCTCCTCCATTCTCCTCTTGGGATCTTGGGCACGCACGCACACGCGCCCGGCGTGAGTTTTTAAGCCACCGGGTCCGAGACACGAACCACGGTCGACTATGTGGGAGTCCAGCGATATAGCCATTACGCTAACTGCTGGTTTAATTTTTACCATTATGGTTCAGGCACTCGCAGGAGAGAGATGAGGGGTGTGTGTGTGATTACCCTCCAGGAGGGGTGACTACACCGCAATCCCTTCTTCTCCGTTGTCCTCTCAGGATTTGGGGCAAGCCCACACACATGCCTAGCGTGGGTTTCAAGCTACAGGGCCCAGGACTCAAAGTGCACAGTTGGCCATGTGGGATCCAGCTGCCTAAACCACCACGCCACCTGCTGGCCAAAGAGGATAATTTCTTACTGGGTTACAGGGCTGTCTGAGAACTGCAAGGTAGAAAGTAAAATTGGACCTACAAAGATCTGAATCCAAGTACTAGAGTCTCCTCCTGGGCTCCTCTCTGTGGCCACATGAGCCTGCATTTGTGTTTCTCAAGCAACTTTGTTTCTCTCTCCTATAAACAGGATTTCTCTACTTTTAACACTACAGGCTGTTCCATCCAAGCTTTTTTTTTTTTTTTTTGGAGAGGTTTTTGCTATAGGGTGCGTGTGCTTGCCAGAAAGACAGAGAGAGACAGAGAGACAGAAAGCAAGAAATCACCCCCAGGGGGGATGGCCACACTGCAATCCCTTCTCCTCCATTCTCCTCTTGGGATCTTGGGCATGCACACACCTGCGCCCGGCGTGAGTTTAAGCCACCGAGTCCAGGACTCGAACCTCAGTCGACTACGTGGGAGTCCAGTGACATAGCCATTATGCCAACTGCTGGTCCCCATCTAGGCTTTTAAACAGAGAAATCCAGTTTAGGGAGAGAGAGAGAGAGAATTATAAGACCTCATTTTAAGCAACCAGGAGTCCAGCTGACATTTTAAAATCCTAATTTGAAATTGCTGGGAGTAGGAGTGCTATTTTACATATATGTTATATGTGTGTGTACATACATATGTAGATTTGTGTGTGTATACATACATACGTGGATTTGTGTGTGTGTGTGTGTGTGCATGATAGAATCGGGGTGCTTGCATGAAAGAGACACAGAGACACCATTGACAGGGTCTTATCACATCTCAATCCCCTTCCCCAGCCCTCCAGCTCATCAGGGTCTTTGGTGCCCACATGCACATCTCATGCATTTTCAGGCCAAACCAAGGGTCCGAATCCACGATGGGCCATGTGGCTTCCAGCACTGCAGTTCAGAATACTACAGACTGCGTGATCTAGACCGGGCCTCAAACTAGTCCTCCACCTGAGTGCTACAGGTGCTGAATCAGAATGGAAACCACCTATAATGCTGGGGCAGGGCCCTGAAGGACCCCTGCCATGCCAGAAGGACCCCCTTCTGCTGTGGACTGTGGGGAAGGCCCCGTCCTGGCTGGGGCACTGATGGGTAACTAAACGGGCTCAGAGCTGAGCCATCTATCAACTAGTAAACATTTTACAGCCTGCGTAGCCATGGAGACTGGCTGTCAGCCAGGCTGGGGGAATCTGATTGGCCCTCCTTGGGTCAGGTGTCTGCCCCTTGCCAATCAGCTATGGCCAGGAGGGCAAGGCACACAGTCATGGCTGGAGGCTGCCTTTTATAGCTCTGTGATCCTTGATAAGAGGGCGTCTGCGAGCCAGGCAATTGCCCCAGAGATGCGATCATCATTTCCTGGATGACAGATAGAGGGACTTAGAGACAGGGATGGCTGGCCTAAACCTCACATGGAGAATCATGTTGCCTCCCTGCCACCCTCAGAACCAAGATGGCGCCCAGTGGGCATAAAGAAACCACTCCAATGCCCCGAGGGGTGACCGAGGCCTCACCGGGGTGCTCTCTTTTACCTCCCTAGACCTGTTCATTGAGAGGTTCTGCATGACGGGCGGGAACAGCCCCATCTGCTACCTCAAGGCTTATCACACCAACCTCTACTTGTCGGCTGATGCCGAAAAAGTGCGAGAAGCTATCGATGAGGGTGAGTCCAAGTGAGGAGGGAGGAGGTGGTGATGGGAATCCAGCAAAGGACTCCAGAGATGGGAGGCCCAGTCCTAAAGCTCTGAGAAGGTGCTGGGAGGCTGTGTGGTGCTTTCCTTAACCCTATGACTGGTCCTATAAACTGCGAGAACAAGGCCCTACCAATTCCACTGTCCCACTCTCAGCCCTACTGTGTGCAGAATGCTTTTACTCACCAGCATCACCTTGCCTTCTGTTTCCATGGAAACCCTCTTTACTGCTCAGAAAGCTACTCCCTTCTAAGATTTCTCCAGGTCAGTGGGAGTTCTGATTGCTGCGTGACCATGGGCGGCCGCTGCCCCTCTCTGGGCCAACACGGAAGGGGAGCCATATCTAGTCTAGCCTGATCTGGGAAATGGCCGGCACCTCCAGCAACAGGGCTGGAGACGGAGCTGCAAGGCCCGTCAAAGAGAATCCCCCTCCTGTGTCTCTCGAGGGGCAGTGTGGGGAGTAGCCACAGTCTCAGTGCTTCCAACGGGGTGCGTAGCCTCTTGTCCATGGAAGAGAACAGGCCCACGGCGTGCAAAGGCCTTCCCAGCTGCCCCACAGGGCTCCTCGGACCAAACACTGTGACTGGTTCCGATACCGAACCACAGTGCGTCCACTGTTCTCTTCCCTTACGTGCTGCTCCTACGAGGGCGCTTCAGAAGCTCATGGGAAAACGGAATCGAAATACCAGTTTATTTTGCTGCAAGAAAATTTCAAAATCTGTACTTTTTTCATTCATAATATGCATTCTCCAAGCTCTCTATGAAGCCCCCTCGTAGTTGGAAATCCCGAGTCCTCCCACCACACACACACCATGTACCACTCCCCTGAGCTGGGTGGGACCCGCAGGAGGCTTCCTTCAACCAGACATCTGAGCCAGCTGTCGGGAGGGAGCAAGAAAAAAGGTGCTTCTGGGTCACCTGGCTCCAGGGCTGGCAGAGCTGAGGTGTCAGGCCTGATGCACACTCGGCCCAGTGGAGCTGCCGTGAGGTGGCCGCTGCTCACTGCTCACTCTGCCCGAGCCAGCCTCCGGGGCCTAGATTCTCAGAGAGCAGGGCTGAAGCGGCCTTGGGAAGCAGAGCCAGCGTCTGCCCAGTCCTGCTGCCTGGCACTGGCTCCCCGCTGTCCGGTGTAGCTCTTGCCTGGAGCTAGGGGTCCCCAACAGCCATCCCTATGCTCCTGGAGGAGTACAGGGCTGCAGGGTCCAGGCACATGTCAGACGTAGCGTCACTGACATCGTCTCGTGGAACCCTGAACAGCCAGGCTGACCTGAGTAGGGCATCCAGGGAGCCATAGTGGCCATGGACTGAGGGTGCCTACCCCACCCCACTCCAGATCGCTGCCCGGGATCTCAGCCCTAGAAAGGCCCTTCATCCGACCTTGGTCCAGAGAAAGTGAGTGACTCACCAGAACCAATAGTCACAGGGGGACCGAAGCCAAGAGCTGGGGCTCCCTCCTCGCCGCCCTGCAGAGGCCTGAGAGGAGCCCCTGGCAGGAGAGTCTTGGCCTGGGGACCCCGCGTTCCCGCCAGGACTAGTGTTTAGCTGGCCTACACCACGTGTCACATGCTGGAATCCCGGCACACTGGCTGGTAAACAGATCCCGCCCTGGGGCTCCCTCGGCCCTCTCCATAAATAACTAATGGGGTACCGCAGGCATAGGCGATGCCCTCCGAGCCTGGCTTTGGAGTGATGGCTACTGTCCATTTTTATTGGTCAGTGTCCCCATGTCACCAGTTTTTAACCTCGGTGTCAGCCCACAGAGCCCTGCCTGGGGCTCGGCTGAGGCGGGCAAGGGAAGGATGGGCTGAGCCCTCAGGCAGGGGTGCCTTTGCACAGCCTGAAGGCAGACCACGCTTGCCTCTCTCTGACCAGGGATCGCAGCCGCCACCATCTTCAGCCCCAGCAGGGATGTGGCTGTGTCCCAGAACCAGCTGCGAGTGGCCTTCGATGGGGACGCGGTGCTGTTCTCGGATGAGTCGGAGCGCATCGTCAAGGCCCACGGGCTGGACAGGTTCTTCGAGCATGAGAAGGCCCACGAGAACAAACCTTTGGCTCAGGTGCTTCACGGAGTCCCGGAACCCTGAGTGGAGCAAAGCCCTGCCAGAGCTGCCCTTGGCCCGAACTCCCAGCCAGGAGCCAAAGTGTAGGCCCAGCCCAGATGCCAGCCAGGTCCCCTCACCAGACCTCGAGCCTCAGCCCTGTCATTTCACTCCTGGATCTCACTGATGAGCTTCTGCTCCTCCACTGGGTCCCCTTCACTGAAGGCCCAACTCCTTTGAAGCCCCCATGCTCTCTCTAAGCCCCTCTCCGAAGCTCCACCCCCTTTTGGAGGTCGCGTCCCTCCTCTGAAGCCTCCACCCTCTGGGTAAGCTCCCACCCCTTAAGAAGGCCCTGCTTCCCTCGCTGGAGGAAAGAAGTTCCGGGACCTGCACTCCTGCTGACTTAGAGGTCCAGCTGGGAGTGTGGGCGGGCCACCCGCTGCAGGCCACCCCCTGCCATCCATCCCTTGGCCGAGGGCATGGGGACCCTTACTCACTCTCAAATTGCTCAGTGTCCCTCTGAGAGCAGGATATGCCCTCGAGCCTGGGGTCAGGGCTCCTGGGGTTCTCCAGACATCCTAGGAGTTCCTATTTGAGTTTAACAAAAATCTGGGGCCAATAATCCCGGAGTCCCTCCCTCCATGAGCTCAGCAAAACAGACTTTGCATATTTGTTTCACTTCCATTCTCATGGCTGCCTCTGAAGCCCTTAGGAACCCAAGGCTAGATAGTTTTTCCACTGAGGGGTAGGCAGAGCCCGGAAGACACCACCACCACTAGGTCCCCGCAGGCGAGGGTCTCCAAGAGGAGAAGACCGCCTTTCCTTCTTCCAGCTGCTGGTGCGGTTTCCTTCGTTATCGCCCTTCTTCTGCCACGCCCCCTCGTTAAGCTTCATTGCCGGGCACTGTAGAGAACAGATCTTTTCTCTGGCCCCAGAGAGCTTCAGCAGGCCACCCTGAGCCACCCTGTGCTGGTGGGCGGGGATGACATTCAGCAGGTACACGTTGGTCACCTGTCCGCTGTTTACAGCTGGTTCCTTTACTGGTTCCTTCTGTGCCCAGGCCGTGTTTACTAAATATGTCTAACACCCTCCCAGCCGATGGGCACAGAAAGCCACGCTCAGAGCTGCAGGACAGACAGCTGCGTGCCTGGTGGGTCACACATGGGATGACATACACAGGGACAGCCCCAGTCACAATCATACAGAACCCCCGGACTGACTCAGGTACTTCCAGTCCGACTGATGCTCAGTGACCCGAGCAGGCGTAGCAGGATGAACGGCGGGGTCTCGGGACCCAAGACGCTAGTGCTTGGGGACAGGGGGCGGATGTTTGGAAGAAGATGAGCTCATGGTGTTCCTTGCCCTCTCACAGGGCCCTTTAAAGGGCTTTCTGGAGGCGCTGGGCAGGCTGCAGAAGAAGTTCTACTCCAAGGGCCTGCGGCTGGAGTGTCCTATCCGCACCTACTTGGTGACAGCACGCAGTGCGGCCAGTTCCGGGGCCCGGGCCCTCAAGACCCTGCGCAGCTGGGGCCTGGAGACCGACGAAGCTTTGTTCCTGGCTGGAGCGCCCAAAGGCCCCCTCCTCGAGAAGATCCGCCCACATATCTTCTTTGATGACCAGATGTTCCACGTGGCTGGGGCTCAGGAGATGGGCACCGTGGCTGCCCACGTGCCCTATGGGGTGGCACAGACTTGCCGGCGGACGGCACCCACAAAGCAGGTCCCACCTGCGAGTAGCTAAGCGCTGTACCGGCCCACACTGCTCCAGGCTCCCCACCGCACTGGACACGCCATCTGGCGGCCCCTTCTACTTCCTCACCCTCTGCCTACTGCATGTCTGCCCCAGCCCTCTGAGTGAGGTACTTGGAGAAAGCGACGCAGCCTGGGCCGGCATGCTCACCGTCCCTCCTGCTGGGCAAGCACTGACAGCGAAACTGCAGAGTGGCTGGGTTTCAGGCGGAAGTTGATGGGACCAGAGGCAGGAGGGCCAGAGACGCCAGGATGCCTTACAAGGGTGAAAACCAGCTCAGGGCGGTATAGAGAACACAGCTTTGAGAGAGGGTGGATCTGGCTTCTAAGTTCTGTTCTGGCATTAGCTATGTGACTTGGAGTAGGTCTGTTCCCATCATGGGCCTCAGTTTCCCCATCTTTTAGGTGGTTTTCAAATTCCCCGTTAGCCAAAGAAGCTTCGTTTCATACGATTGCCCTTTTCCAGGGAAGTATTCTATGCCAGGGCCACTGCGGGCATGCCTGGCATCTTTGTGCAAGTTACAAAAGGATGCTCTCTTAGAGGAATGAATCACAAGAAGACGGCCCCTCCTCTGGCCTGACGCAGACCCACGCTGGTGCACAGCCTGGTTAGCAGGACGTGGGCTGGGTTTCAGCTCCCACTCACCCACGGCTCGAGGCTGTTGTCAAATGAGCAACGGGCACAGTCTTCCACAGCGCTCTGTCTAGATTGTGCGCATTTGGAAGCCACTGGACAAAACAATCTATCAGCTTCCTGTGACCTAATCCGAGCCATGGGCGGTGGAGGGTTTGTGGAAAAAAATGAGTGAATTTAACCTGCATGCAAATTCTCCTCCCGCCAGCAGGGGGCACTGGAGGCACTCCCTGGAGAAGCGCTTTGATGGCTGACTCAGTGTTCACTTTTGCTTTTCTGCCTCCTCCCCTCCCACACACCCTTACTCCCCAGGTGGTTGTATCCTGCTGTGCTGTTAAGCAGCTCTACCTGTGGGGAGAGAGGCGGAGTACCTGTGTCCACAGTCACGGGCGATACAGAAGAAAGCGTAGTGGCTGAGTGAGTGGTCGTCCCGGCTGAGCCCCGGGTGGGTGCACTGGCAAGTGTCGGGAGGTCTGATCGGAGACAAAAGTGCCGAGCAGAGATCGCTTAGCGTGGAAGGAGCTGAAGTGGGGCTGAAGGAGCTGCCTTTGAAGGTAACGGGCTCCCCGTCACCGGGATGCTGTGCAGGGGATCCCAGGACCGGTCCCCCCCCCATGCACCCGTGAGCCCTCCACCCTTGCAGGAGCTGCTGCAGCCCCTTCTTCACCACTTCCAGGGGAGAGCTCGCTACCGCTCAGTCAGCTGAGCAGCCCTGGCTGTCTCTGGAGGAAGGGAGCACACGGCTGGCCCCCAGGAAGGCCAGGAAGGGTCAGCAGAGCAGACGTCTGTGTGTGGGCTGACTGCTTAGCCCTCCGGAGGAATCCTGGCAGTGGGCAAGCACCATGTGGAGAGAAACAACCGTATCCTTGAGGCGGGGTGGTGGTGAGGGGCTTGGGAAGGAGCCTGGAGGTGTGGGGGTGAAGGCAGCCTGGGACACCTGATCTTGTCCTTTCAGGGACTCAGCCCAGGTCTGAGTGGGCACAGGTTCTGGGTGGGGTGGGGTAGGAACTGCAGAAAGATGATCCAGGCAGGAGAAAAACGCGGAGTCAGAGGTGCAGTGAGGTGTGCTGAAGAGCAGTGCTGGGCTGGGCTTTGGCTGTCAGCGCTCGAGGGCTCGGAGAGGCCAGTCCCAGAAAGGAGGGACGAGGCCATGCTGAGCGCTATCTTCGCTGCACCTGGAGGGGCTCCCGTGGAAGAGGCTGTTGCAAAGGATCGCCTCCGTCGTGCAGCCAGGATCCGTCTGGCTGGCGGAGCAGGAGGCCTGGTTCAGCGCTCCCTCCACTCCCAGAACTCCAAGTCAGAGAAGCCGTGAGACCTAAGGACAGCCTCAAGGAAAGGAAACGGAAGTGAGGGGAGCTCAGCCAGGGCATCTGCGGTCTTGGCCAAACCACAGAAAGGCTCTCTGCCTCCCAGGGGGTCAAGATCACCTGCCTGGAGGGCCCTCCAGAGCTGGTGGCCATGGAAACCTTCAAGGCCAGACACAGCCCAGCTCATGGACTGGCTTAGCTGTCTGACCAGGGTCGACCCGAGCACTGAGGGCAGCAGCAGAAGTCTCGACTAGCCATTGCCCTCCCGGGGCCTCCAGGGCAGTGAGGAGTGCTGGAAGGTGGGTAGCAATACTGAACGTGGTTTTGCATAGAACAAAGTGCCCAGTGTTGACTTCAGTCGTTCAGATTTTGGGTTTTGTTTTGTTTTGTTTTTTAGTTTGCTAGGGTGTGTGCACTCGCCAGAGAGAGATAGAGAGGGAAAGTGAGAAGAGAAAGTATCCCCAGGCGGGATGACCATGCCACAATCCCCTCTCCTCCATTCTCCTCTTGGAACTTTGGACATGCACGCACACCCACCCAGTGTGTTTTCAAGCCACCCAGTCTGGGACTCGAACCAGTCCATCAGTCACGTGCCATCCAGCCCCCTAACCATCACGTCACCTGCTGGCCTAGAGGTTTAGATTTAACAAACCAGTCGTATGTCCCCAGTGAAAGCAAGAACGAGTGCTTTTTGAGGAAGGTCCCACTGAGGGCTCTAGGGAGTCAGAAGTTCCTGATCAAGTGAGAGAGAAAGCTGCGGTCAACACTGGAATGGCGGTTCTCGTGGTATGAGGTGTGGACGCACACACGCCCTTACCATGGAACTGTGGGTCGGAGGTTCCGGGAGGCACTGAAGAATGGCAAGTGTGGAAGCTGTCCCCCCGACGGCCATCACTGCTGTCGCTATTCCATCGCCATATTCTTCTCAGTAAGCCCGCCCAGGCTCGGCCTCAGAATCCTTCTCAACCCAGCGTTCCCGACAGCCACAGCCCGGGGCGTTGCCGTCCAGGCGAGGATGAAACCTACTTCGCAGTCGCTGTCACTTATGGGAACCACCACCCAGGAGACGGGCGAGGCCCTGGATATTCGTTCTCTGATGCTGTGGTGAACCCCAAGGATGCCAAGGTCTCGACCAACTTGGGCACAACACGAGCAAGCGGGACAATGGCGTCCTGTTTGGACCGCTTCTTTGGAATGGGTGTCCTGGGTTTGACCCGGTCTCGAAGCAAAACACAAAACCCCCTCCCGCCAGTAGGTGGCACTGCAGGCCGGCACTGAGCGGCGGACCCCCTCCGTGCTCTTATTCACTGGTTCCCGTTTCTGGCCCCACGCTACTTAGCGCTGTACCGGGCTCTCCCCACAGGGGGCGCTAACCAGCCGAAAGGCCGCCAGGTGCTCTCCAGTGTTCGCTAAGCCCACTTACGGGACGAAATGCCTGCTTTCCCTGATAACCACTGTGATTATTGGGTGGGTGTGGTATGTACACATGGATGTGCACGACAGGGTAAAATCTGTGTCTATATGCTTGTGTGGGTGAGCGGACTACTCCATGCGTGTGCACGTGTGCCCCACGCCGTGAGTGTGTATGGATGTTTGTCTGCTGATCGAGGGTCTTGGGTCCCACACCCCGATGGCCAGCCCTGCTTCCTGGGACTAGTTCTGCCTAGTCCTGTCATGCTGTGGGTTTTAAACATCAGCCAGGTCCCTAGGTCTTCCTGTCCAGCTTCCAGCCTCTGGCCTCCGAGGTATTGGCTCCCAGCTCTGCCTCCTCGTCCCTTGCTGCCCTGGGAAGGAAGTGGTAGCCTCCGTGCTAGGACAACACTCGATCCGTCCCCTGTACGTGTTTCTCCTTCCCGGAGCAGTGCCAGGGCACGTTACGCACTGCTAAAATCCGCAGGACCATTCATGCCATGACGTAGTGCCTCTTAGGAACCTGTAAAGCCTGCCAGCAGAGCAGAGATGCTTTGGCCACCTCCGGGTCACGACTAGGAGAGGTGCCTTCCTCCCTGGCCCTAGGCCCAGCCCGACCTTGCTGGCATTCCTTTCTCTGCTTGGGTGTTCTGGACGGGCCCAGAAGTAACTTGCCCTTGGCCTTGATTGGGAAGTATCTCCCCATGGACCACCCTCAGAGGCTTTGGGGTTGCTGTTTATAAGTGTGAACTGTAGCGGGGGACTTTCTGGTTCTTGCAAAGTGAGCGGCCCCTGGAAGACACACCAGAGCTCTGTGGACCGGGGTCACGGACTCCAACACTGCTGGCCTGTGGGGAATACGCCTTCATAGGCCTCTGCCAGGGATCCAGGGTAAAGGCCTCAGGCTAGCTTGTAGCTGCTACCAAGAGGACTGGTCAGGGACACAAACCATGCTGCCTACAGGGGCCAGGCAGGAAACTGAGGGAGCAAAGTGAATTAGCCTTTAGTGAGATGGAGAACTCGGGTTGCTGTCCTGTGGAAATGCAGGCTGGTGTTACCAGAGAGTCCACTTATTTTTCAAGAGAAGCTATGGATATAGACTTTTAAAGTTAGCAACTATTTCACATTTTAAAAATGAATTATTTATTTTATTTTATTTATTATTATTATTATTATTAACTTGCTAGCACACTCACCAGAGAAAGAGAGGGAAAGTGAAGTGCCCCTGGGGGAGGGTCATGCCACAATCCCTTTACCTCCATTCCTAGCAAACTGACCAGAGAAAGAGAGGGAAAGTGAAGTGCCCCTGGGGGAGGGTCATGCCACAATCCCTTTACCTCCATTCTCCTCTGGGGACCTTGGGCACGCACACACACCCGGCATGTTTTATAAGTCGCCAAGTCCAAGACTTGAACTGAGAAGTCAGCCATGTGGGATCCAGCCGCCTTAGAACCACACCAACTGCTGGTCCAGTCTTGGATCTTTTAGACCTTAGAGGTGACTTGTGTGTTTTAAACTGTCTTTGACTTAGTAGCACCCATATCCTTACCTCCTGGTTTCTACTTAAAAGCATCTAAGTGAGGACCAACAGTTGGCATAATGGCTATGTCGCTGGACTCCCATGCAGTCAACTACAGTTCGAGTCCTGGACCCGGTGGCTTAAACTCATGTCAGGCCCGTGTGCGTGCGTGCCCAAGATCCCGAGAGGAAAACGGAGGAGAAGGGATTGCGGCATGGCCGTCCCCCCTGGGGGGTGACTTCTCGCTTTCTGTCTCTCTATCTCTCTCTGTCTTTCTGGTGAGCGTATGCACCCTATAGCAAAAACTTCTCAAAAAAAGAAAAAAGCATCTAAATGTCCCCAATTTAGAACCAGACTGAAAACAGAGGCCCTGCCTGTTGGAAATCCTTTGCTTTTACACCGTTTGCTGCCCGGTCTTCCTCACCGCCTAACCTCTCTGGGTCAGCTCTTTCGATAAACCTCCTTCAAGTGCCTCCTTCCACAACTGGAGGGTGTGTTCTTCCTCTGTGTGACTCCCCTTGTTCAAGGATGGGGCTGCTCATACCCTGTGGCCTCACCTTCCCCCATCTGCCATTCGCATTCCGGCTCCAGCCCCATGTCACTCTTCGCAGGGTTTACCTGGTCACGTGACAAGGGTGCTACGTGCTTGTCAGTGTGTATCCCTTCCTTCCTCATGCTTGTCCTGTACCTTAATTTCACAACATGGGCTTCTGCTTCTTAAAAGCCATTCAAATAAAAGAGGTTCTAAATAAATGTAATAATGTCTCGTTTCTCCCCCCACAATTGAATTCACAAACCTGCTTATGGAGCCTCAAGAAATGAAAACAGGGGGATCAGCGGTTAGCATAATGGCTATGTCGCTGGACTCCCATGTAGTCGACTGCAGTTCAAGTCCCGGCTTAAACTCACACCAGGTACGTGTGCGTGCGTGCCCAAGATCCCGAGAGGAGAACTGAGAAGAAGGGATTGCGGCGTGGCCATCCCCCCTGGGGGGTGATTTCTCGCTTTCTGTCTCTCTGTCTCTCTCTGTCTGCCTGGCGAATGCACACGCCCTATAGCAAAAACCTCTTAACTATAGAAAAAACCTCTTAAAAAAAAAAAAAAAGAAATGAAAACAGGGATGAGGGCAGCACACAGGCCTGGGCTCTGCCCCACCACTGGTGCAGGGGCCTCTCTGTAGAGGCTCTGCCTCCATGTGAAGACCACCCTGGGGGAGATCTTGTAGTGGACAGCATCCTGGGCCCATCAGAAGGCAAGCTTCCCACACACACAGGGCTCTGCCATGGACTCTGTATTTCCATCTGGAGCTACCAAAGGTGGGACAGAGTGGGAGGAGGAAGAGAGGATGAGAAATCACGTGAGATGTAGGAGGAAGGGTAACGCAGACTGCAGCCTCAGCCCCGCATACCTTCCTGTGCCCCAGCAGCTTCCTCATCTTAACGTCTCTGTGGGGCAGCCGTCAGGAGTGGCTTTGCTGGTGGTTCTTCTCAGTGTCCCATGAGGCTATGGCCAAGCTTCCTGCTGGGGCTGCAGCCACCGGACTGAGGGCTGAAGTCTTGACTGGTGCAGGAGGGTCCACTTCCAAGATGGCACACCCACATGGCGATGGGCTTTCCCCTGAGTGAGTAATGCAAGCAAGAGCAAGGCAAGAGCCACCCGGTCTCTTATGACATATCATCACTTCCCTGTATTGTGTTGGTCACACGGACAAATGCTGACGTAACGCGTGGGGGATTACACGAGGGTGTGAAGCCAGGCAGTGGAGATAACTGGTGGCCATCTTGGCGGCTGGCTGCCACATACTACATACCTCCTGGCTAGACTAGAGTCAAATGTGCCTCCAGGATTCTGCAGCCTAAATTCCCCTCCACCCCACCTTCCCACCCACCCACTCTGTCTCCAGGGACGTGGAGAAACGTCATCCCTTATCTACTTCCTTCCTCGCGCCTCCCATCCTACGGATCCCTTCTGGGACCTTGGAGTCACTGGGGACGTCATGGAAACTGTTCTGAGATGTCGGTCTCACTGTGAAGTTGTTATAACGTCCACGAGGCCACTGGTACCAGAGCTGCTTACACTGGTTTGTAGCCAATGGACCGTGTCCAAGGTGAGGGAAAGGGCAGGAGTGGAGGGGGCAGTGGCCCAATGCCCTCTCCTTCCCAGGCCTTGGGGAGCAGACAGACCCTCTGGTGCCGTAACTGAATCCTCTACTCTCCGACATGATCTTGGACTGGATTTTGAGACAGAAATCTCATGTCGTGGTAGAGATGCGACTGTGGCTTGGAGCTGAAAAAGAAGGAGCAATTGGAGACAGACGTTTAGGGACAGGATCCTTTCTCCTTTTCTGTGCCGTCCTTTTTCATCCTGGCAAGGCTCGTCCATGGTCCGAGAGCTACACAGGTTCTCTCTTTGTCTTTCTTCTCCTCTGCTTATCGATAGTCCATTTTATTTGCCACTAGGTCATTTAAAAAAAAAAATTGCTAGAGGGCACTTGCACTCGCAGAAGAGAGACAGAGAGAGAGGGAGAGAGGGGGAGAGGGGGAGAGGGAAAGCAGTCTCTGGGAGATGGTCACACTGCCACCCCTCTCCTCCATCTCCTCGGGATTGTGGGCACACATGTGCATGTGCCCAGAGTGTTTTTCAAGCTGTCAGGTCTGGGACTTGAATCGTGCAGTTGGCCTTAACCACATCTCCAGCTGGCCCCACAGCTAGGCCATTTTTTTTTAAAAAAAAGAATTATTTGGGGAGCCAGTAGGTGGCGTGGTGGTTAAGGGTGCTGGACTCCCATATGGCTGACTGTGGTTCAAGTCCCAGACCTGGTGACTCCCCCCACCCTTCCTTCCTCTCTGGTCAAATTTTAAAAATAAGTAAATAAGTAAATAAAGTTAAATAAATCTAAAATATATCATTAAAAAATTTTAACTTTATTTATTTATTTTTAATTTGACCAGAGAAGGATAAAACAAGAGGAAGAGAGAGGGAAAGCAAGAAAGCAAGCTGCCAAGTCTGGGACTCAAATCATGGTTGGTCATGTGGGAGTCCAGCACCACTAAT